CGGCTAAATACACAACCCTTGATGGTCGAAGGTGAGAGAATCTGCTCTTCCTGCCTGTACACGTTGCTCAGTCACAATTATGCGAGTCCACGAGTGCCGTGGCAAATTTGCCGCATAGAGAACGTGGCATTTAATGCAAGATCCTTTTCTCTCTTGATTTTGGCACATGGTCTTGAAGCTTCTGACAAATACTTTTTACTACGCGATGTTAAACTGATAAATCACATCACAAGCGATTACACAGCATGTAACGCGCGCCACTATATGGTAAAATGTTGCACATTATCATTTGGATGTACAAACCATAAAGTCACCAACTCCTACTTTTATTACCACTTTGAGAAGGAAACTATGAATCATCACGGTATTTGTAGTCACATTTAGTATTCGTACCTGAAATTACCCGCTTAAGATGTTTTTGTAATTATATGTTCAAACCTATGTAAAGAGATCGTGGTCTTGGCAATCATTAATATAGCTCCCTCTGAAGGATGCCCTGGAACGACTGATCGAAGAATTTCGACGTCCATAAATACATTCAGAAATGGACAATTAATTTGACACACATATCAATACATGTGGGCACGGACACCAGTTCTTTAAATGCGCGCCACGATTACCACTTTGTTTATATGCTTTGCATTATCACAAATCATAGTCGCAGCTCTCCCACTTAGGTAAATAACGGTCTTGGAACTCATTTCACATGTTCAGGTCAACAAATTTTTGCAAGCAAAATGTCAGTCACTGATAGATTTGTACTCCTTGCTATGTTTGGACTTTCTCCGAGATGCTGAGTGGAGCATCTCTTATTATCAACGGGCACTTATATTGCACGAACGGCGGATATATGGCTCTACAAACACAATTAATGTAACGACATCCCTCTACAATGTAATTCGCACTTCAATGCTTGTGTGTTCTAATACTGAGCAAAAACTCGGATTGGCTCACATTTTACTCTACTGTTCCTGAGTGTTATTTATCTTTGGTTCTATTCGCTCACTGTTTAAACCAACGCCCATTATAAACACGCAAATTCACATTTTAACATCCCGTAACTGTGTATACCTGGTTAAATCTATACGAACCGACAGGTAACCTTGGTGCCTGTCTATGTAATAAGCAAATTATTAAATTCCCAAAGTCACTTGGCAGCGAAACATCGCTTCTGAGAAAAGAAAAGACTAACGCATGTTTACGTCCGCTTAATTCTTGAAAAGCGAACTTGTTCAGCGTTTTCATTTCAAACTTTTCAGGTACGCATTTTTATCATTTTCATAATTCCATGACGGCGTTTTAAAAAGATCCAACGACGGAATAAAACTGCTTTCCAAAATTCAGATACAAACTCACTTCTACGGGAGAAGTCACTGTCACTTTAGATATTGTAAGCATAGAGGGGTAACAGGTCAAATTTCTTGGGTACAAAATTGTTTTTGTTCACAAATACCAAGAATACCTGAACAACAGAGCTTTGTTACTTTTCTTTAATTTGCTAACCCATGACCTGATAACGGTTGATTAGAGTCGTTCGCACTTCAACTTCACTGAACTGGCGCCACGTCACAAACATTGATATCCAGTATAAAGACTTAATAATGGTCACAAACCAACCACGAGTTAAACTATGGTGTTTCTCCGAATTAGGGGTCTATATGCTCTATGCAGGAACAAGAGATGGCATAGCAACGATATGGAAACATTTTCAGAAAAATAAAAAATACTTGGTTGGCAACAACTTTGCCTCAAAGTGCACAATTTTTTTCGTTGTTAACAAAATAGGCATTTTGGTCATTTGTTAGTGTATTTAGATGCTTTTTTCAGACAAAATACACAACTCATACAGTGCGTGTTAAAAGCCATTAGCAATGTGGGAACCATCGATCTCCGTTTTAGGTTGCATCCATATACTGGAGATCACTGGCTGCATCCATGTTGGTTGTCTAGAGCTAGGTAAAATGCGCGGAAATTTCTCTGCTTCTGTGCACGCGAAGTATTCACTTGCGTTTGGCATGGGACGCACTAAGCTCGCGCGACCAGAATACCGTGGCCCACCAACCTGTCCCTTCTTTTTCGGTTAGGGATTATTTCCTGCAGGGCGGACACTAAACCCATCTTCGAATCCCGGGCATTCGTTGCAGGAACAAAAAGGATCATTCAAGAAATCAAGGGACTTAGTTTCAATTGAATGTGCTGCTGGAAATGACTAAACCCAAGAAAATTTTGCTAGCATAAGAAAAAAGTTTAAAGAAATCAACAAACTATGCTGAAGGCAATTGGCATGTCCTTGCCCAACCTCTGGTTGAAACGTAGTACTACAATGTAAGATTATCTTCAGCAGTCCACAGAAGGGAATCATACCAAGAGTGTCATTTAATCTTCACACGATAGGAATAGTATCGCAAATCACGGAATCTGTCAGGACATAAAACACCAGGTTGAAATACTGTCTCGGATCAGGCTAAAAATAGGGGTGTTCAAAGAAAAGGCATTTAATGCTCGTTTTTGCTGTCACCTTTTCTAAAGTTACCTTTACCACAAGTGATCATTGAGAACATTTTATACTGGCTGTAAGCTTCTATACGTAGAGATTTTGAGCACAAAATAGCAAGGCCTATTTCCGCTGATAATCTTGACAGAGCGAAGGAAGCCACTTTTTTCTGCTCTGTTTAAAGAACTAGTTTCTTTTTATTCCCTTATACCAAAACAGTGAAAAGGTACTTTTTAAAGAACCACGAGACAGACAAAAATTATACATGTGTAAGAAATAATGAGTTCATCCATTTCGAATCTGACACTACGAAAAATCACGAGCAATGGCTTGAATTTCACAATATGGAAGCCAACTTCCAGCGCCCAAAGACTCAGTACAAATGATGGATCTATGACTCCGATGTGGTATACCGTAAGTTTAACATTCCCCTGCCTACAGAATGGCATTTCAAAGGTTACACATTAACGTGATATTTTCCAGAGACATCATAATTTGATTCTGGCAGATCCAGTAATTAAGTTTCTCTGAAATGAAAAAATACGAAAACATTACGCGCAGGGGGGGAAATTCGCATGCACGATCGATCAATCGGTGGATTTGCATATGCGATCGATCGACCAAGCTAAGCTTTGACTCTATCCTGCGCGAAATCTGGCTATCCTGCCGCTATAAGCCAATCACCTTTCTTTGTTATCCAGAGTTGAAACTGAGTCTAACACTTCGTACCCAGCATAATTACATTTTAAATGATTGATTGCTGTCAGGTTTAGAAAGTCAGAAAATTTTGCTTTTGTTTAAACGTTTGTTTACATTTCCTTCAAGAACGTGGGGGCAGCAACCTGCATTGTACTCAAAGTTCGACTCAAAGATGTCAGTTTGAGTTAGATGTGTCCTCTTATCACTGAAATGTAACTAGCAATTCGATTTGTATATGTATTTACTTAAAAATAAGTAGGAGCGAATCCCTGTGTACAGAAATCAGAATGAATTTGTGAGGTATTTTAGCATTGTAGTGAGCTGTTGTGACCAGCCAAGAAGGCATAAAGTTAAGAACAGGTATCTGAAAATCGCAATAAACATTTTCATCCTGGGAAAGCCTAAGTGATCCCATTGCAGTAAGACAATTTTAGGAGTCTCCCATATATGAAAATTGGTGCTGATTTTACTAAACTCGGTGTGTCTACCAGCCATGTGGATGTGCTTTCTGCAGTTCCATTTATTCAGATCTGCTAAGGAGCAGCAAATTGACTAAGCCCGCTAACACGTGAAGATCAAGTGGAAAACTCGAGGGTTGCCAGACAGTTATATGCACACACACGGGTATTGGTTAATTTTAAGGAAACAGGAGTGCCCCGCTTGAGTAAAAGGTCTATTTCCTATGATGTATCAGCATATATGAGGTTAGCCTGCAGCTGTTAATCCGGACTGGCAATGATAGATTGATAAATTAACCAAAAACATTGATTCCAGCCAAAAGCATTGATTCCAGCCAGGGGAGAAAATTGGATGAAATAGACGCCGTGGTTGGAATCTCTACGCTACAGTAGTTGGAATAAATAATGAAGTTTCGCGAGAAGTGCCTGAGAAGAAGCTGATTGTATGGATCACATAAAATACATGTAGTTTCAGTATAGATTAAGGAGTGGTTAAAAATCCTGTAATTAGTGAAAGGGAAACGAGTTTTCATTCCCGAAAATTTTGAACCGTTCTCCAAAATTTTAATCATTCATACGTTTGCGGCAAAATCAGGCTGTTATTAAGGATAAAAAATAAGGGTCGAATACACAGATGAGCCAATGAAAAACGTCGAGCAAAAGAATTTTATATTAAAACACTAAGTTGAATCTCACTCGATGTACAAATTATGACTTTCCACCATTACAACAGCGCCTTACAGGAAGACACCAAGCGCTCAGCCATGGTATCATACCTAACAAGACCGCTGATCTGCGGGAATATGGCGCCTGAAAGTAAAAGGTAATGCAGCGAGCTTCGATAACCCTCGCACGGCCAATGTATACGGGGACTTCACATGGGGCTACCCTATCCCATTCTATTATTTCAAAGAGTGATTTCTAATTGAAGCCATCCCAAGAAACACTCGTTGTTGATGGGTTCTAGATTCAGTTGGACTGGCCTGCTGAGTTCTTGGCAGCAAATGATAGGACTTTGGAATGTTTCTTCATTGCATATTTTCCCGTGAACTTTATACTTCTAAGCTTATTTTGTTCAAATTCAAAGGATTCAGGAAGTGCGCCATCACCAGAGATCAACTTTTGAATATCCATTCTGTTACCATATATTTGTAAAATTAACTTCAAGCATTATCATCTTGCTAAATGTTGGTAAAATCCCTAACTTACAAACGACTTACAGAAGACCGTTCGCGGTGGATGTCTTTTGGTATTCAACCTACCCTCTGTATCTTTGCAATTTAGATTCAATAACATAACTGTACACAAGTCATACACATCAATTTGTGCAAAATACGCTTCAAACTCACCGCCAAAGTTGGGTCTGATCCGTTTGTCGTAGGTTTTCATTAGAGTCAATAAAACCCAGCTGGACTCTGGCATATCTACTATATCTTCATAGCTTTGCGACATGCCTTGTGACTCATCCACGCTCGCTGTACTAGAAGAACACGCTTTTGACCGGTGGTTGGGCATGTTGGGCTGAGAGTAGTTGACAGTATGGTTGACCCAACTCTGTGGGCTTGTTAGACCTTCGTGGGAATGCACCGTCTCATTACTGCCACTATACCAGAGAGTAGCAAAAGAAGAATACGTCAATATCAAAAAAGTTATGGAAGATTATCCCAAGACTGTGTGAAGAATCTTATAAAATTTGAAAGATTTTTGACGATTTCGGCATTATTTTTTTATTCAAAGTGCTCACTAGGACGTTTAAAGAGGTAGATTACTTGAGGATGAAGATCTAAACAGCAAAAATGGAACTTCATAGTAAAAATGAGTTACATAGGACGACTATTCTATGATGCGTGCTCGAACAGCTCTCTGACTACATACGTCCCTATTTTTAAATCGCTTAAAGACTGATTTAATGCTTTCAAAGTTACACGAAGCATAGGAGCATTTAAAATAAGTACACTAAGCCACATTTCACGTTTATAGGTGGTCACTACAAGCTTCTATTTTAATCATGACATACAAAATTATAGCTGTGGATCAATCTTCAATCTTTACTACGAAATATGAAATCCAAGATATTCTCAAGCTCAGTGTCATTTGTTTCAAGGAAACAGCCATCTTCACCGTTAATTCGAATAAAAATAAAGCCAAATGAATATTGACATTGTGTCATACATTTAGTGTGGATTCAGTGTAAAAATTTAGTTCTCGAACTTTGACATCCACTGAACCATAACGGACCAGTCTGGTAATACTAAAACCGCACCATGACGCACGGCACATCCCCATAATCCATATTGTTTTTGCCATTTTGTTTCTCATTTTTTTAGGACTGGCCTTGGGTCTCCTGGGTCCTGAAATCCTCGTCGATAAGCCCTACGTTCTTCACCGTCAATACTTGTCAGGTTTAAGTATTGACCAGCTCGTACATCTGTGAACAAATTAGGTTAAGTTCAGAAATGTGTGGTTAATCCCGACCCTCGAGACTATGGAGCCTTGAGGTAATGCGTCGCTGTCTCTTCGTTGCTATGTTTGCCTAAAGGATGGCCAACAACTTACATGCGGAAGTAACTGTCAAACAGTGTTCGCAGAGGCAGTATGTGTAACGCCCGTTAAAGTGATGGATTCGGCCATGTTCTTGCCCGGTGGATCGTCTTGAACTGTAGTCTTATCCCAAGTCGTACTGATTTCATACTTACTTAGCCCTGAATCAGGACACAAACTCTCCTCGCTCCGATTAATACACCGTTAATATTTGAAAGAATGCTTCAATATTACGAAGACAAGCTAGCCTCCCAAAGAAACCTACATCTGCCAGCTATGAATATATTCTGTGCAGCCGCTGAACACAGAAAAGATTAGAATTACGAAATTATACGAGCTACTCTATTCTGGAACATATCACATATTGCAGGTCATCATTCAGTTAAATGTAATGTTTAACATAGACAATGGACTCTTGAAAGCAATTTAACAAATTGGAAGGTCAACGCAAAAACCACATCTTGTAGCCGATCGAAAGTTTTTTTAATTTTTCATTTGGGTGTCAGTAACGACTGCAACTGTTCTTTCCGTATTTTTGGTTACCTCTGCATGTTTCAATTTAGTCTAGGGAATTTCCCCCAAGCAGCGTTTAAAAAATCACATAATATTGTTCGAGGGAAAGAGGGAAAAAGTCGAGGGAAAATGTTTAAAGAATCACGACAAAAGCTAAATTTTACTGAGCGATTGAACACTCGTATTTCTCTCTCTTAAACAACTGCATTTCATCCATGTTGGGTCTCTAATGTTGCCTAATGGAGTAGAATGCGCAAAATGTCCACATGACAGCGCACATGACAGCGACCAGTGCTTGTGCTAAAGCTGTCAGGCCTCACACGAAGCTGCCAGCCGGTACAACCTCTTGCTTTCCCCGAGGGGTACTTAACACAGGCTCGGTTACATGTACGGCATCTTCAGATATCCAGTAGATGAAGTCTTGGCTGAATTAATCATGCCAATCAAGATATCTGGAAAGATACTTGATACCACTAAAGCTCCATACGCCCATACACAGGCAACTCTACTTTGAAGGACAAGGTCAGATTGAGATGAAGGTTGTATGATACTATGAAGCTCTCCGATCACAATTTTCAAACCGAGGATGAGAGGTAAGGAAAAGCCTCGCTTTAACAACCTTTAAATTTTGTAAAATGTGCTCGTCTGATGATTTCCAGTGTACATGTTATGAACATTTTTGTTGCCACTTTCATATATAATCTACCCTTGACTTTTACGCTGACAGGCATAGTTACTCCGTTGATAAATTTTGGCATGGGTTGAGGTTTGACCCAGAGTCATGCACACAGCTTCCCTCGGTCAATACGTCACGTTTCCCTGATATTAAAAAAAGGATGTTTGTGAAGACTAACGACTATGCAGTGAAATCTTCAATTTCTTTAATATTGTGTAAGTAGTATCAAAACTGAACAAGGGACAGAGGGGAAGTGGCAGGGTTTTACGTCTAAATTTTGAAGAAGTTTATTCTTTAATTCCATTTTCTTTTAAACTTTTTAATTATTTAGAATAATGTTTGTTATAAGTTGATTGTTGTATCAAAATGGTCGGCAAAAAGAAGTCCGTCACCTTCAGGCTAAAAGGTGACTGCAGATTTGTTTAAGTTTATTGTTATCCAAACATCGTTCCCTTTGTCCAAGCACACCAGCTAATTTTTTTATGGAAACTTAAATTTCAGGGATAGGCCCGATATCTCCAGGCCAATCTGTACGAAAAATGCTGACAATCAAAACATCAAGCATGAACTAACGCACCTGATTAATTGTAGACATCAAGCTTTAGTTCAGTCGAATGAAGGAATACAGGAACTTCTAAACCATAAGCCAATCAGTCGATTGGAAAAATATCGAAAGTGTCCTAAAACCCAAACCACCAAGCAATGATTAATAATATCTGCAGAGGGGCTTCTTGTTTTTGTACGTGTCTAGATACAGATTGTGGGCGATTTTAAATAAACTGACTATCAAGCCAGTGGCCGAAGCTTACTATAAAAGAAGATTAATTCCACGAAGGAATGCGGTGTCACGCCGAGAAAAGACACGAGTAAGACAGTGCACGCGACATCTTGGTTTAAGAATAATCCCAATTTGGAGTACATGTAGTTCCAGACACACGTAAGCATAATCGCTTGAAGTTCTCGTAATCCATTCAGGCGTCTGTCATATCAACCAACTTAGAAGGCAGAGACGCGGGTAAACATCAAATTCTGCCTACACATCAATCACAGTTTACTTTTTTCTTTCTCCTTTTCACTAGAACGAATACCCTGGCAAAGAGGTATGCGCGCCTAGTTTAAGTGCACAATGAGTGGTTTTGTGACAGTTACAAAAAACGCTGTCGCAAATTAAAAATCAAAGAATGCTGACAAACCTGAAAGGAAAGGAAGCTTTGTTTCCATTCATCGCTAAGGTTTGATTAAAAGGATAGGGGAAAATTTCGCGCTGGAAGTTTTGACTTATTTTTTTAATTAATTAAAACTAAATGCCTCTTGCAAAATATCGGAAAGGGTTCATCAACTTATCCAAGCAAACTACAGTGTCCCAGTTAAATACAACCCCTTCAGGTTAAAGGTAAAGTAGAATGGCGTAGGCCAAATTTTATACATGCTACAACAGGCAAAAAGTAAAACGTAGGCCTATCCTTTTTTTTTTTATTCATTGGTTTATTTATTTGATAAAAATTGACACATGACAGCCAGAAGGCTGAATTGATGGACGAAATTGAAGCATAAACAAACCTGAATAAAAGTACATAAAATAATCATAAACTTAAAAATAGTTATATTTAAAAATGAAACCTGTAAAAGAGAATAACAAGTGCAGAGTGGGGGGCCAAGTATAAATCTAGGGGGAAAAGGAATCCTTAAAGAAGAATTCTTGCCAGTGAGGGCAATGTAAATTTGTTATATATGATGACCATAGTATATAGGAACATTACTAGACCGCAAATTTCTTCCATTGGTTTTTTTCTGGGGGGAGTATGTGTTGGAATCTATTCGACGACATAAGTTTGTTTTTCCAAATTTGTACCAAGGCTCTGGTGTCTAGATTCAAGTGTCAGTAACTTCAATTTATCAATAGCGTCGAAACCCAGAATAATACGGCAAGCTCTCTTCTGTACCTATTCTATTTCATCACTTTGCTCATCAGTTATTGAAGAATGCCACATTTGACTTGCATATTCTAAGATTCGTATGTAACATTTAAAAGCGGCCGCCATATCGGATTGACAGATCTGTGTCTTTTTAAGAATGCAAAGAGTATATCACTTGCGGGATGCTCTGAAAATTTTATCATTAACAGGCATAGACCATTTCAGATCACTCTGTAACTCCGAGTAATTTCATCTGGGAAACAATGTTTAGACCTACAGATTCCAGTAAAAACGACTGCATGGGAACTTCTCTTTTCAAAAAAAATTAATCATAATTTGTTGGCATTTAGAAGGTTTGGGTAACACATCGTTCTGCCGACACCAAACCGAAAGATTGTCAAGATGTTAATCCAAATTTGGCTACTTTTCCCCCGTCTGCAGCAATCCATAGAGGCATCGTTGACAAGAACAAGAAAAAGAATAGGTCCCAATTTTGCACCTTGGGAAACTCACAAGTGATCTGTTTGGTAGATGACAAATGACTGTTTAACTTCATGTTTTGTGTGCGATTGGTGAGAAAGTTGCAGACAGTAGGAACTATGGATTCTCGAGGTCTATAAGCTTCTGTATAAGTATATTATGATTAACCCTATCAAAGGCCTCAGTAAAGTCAACTGCACATAGTTGGGTGTAATGTCCCGGTTTATCCAAACCCTTAAGGACAAAATTTAACATATCACCTTAATAATGTGTGGTTGAATAACCTTTTAGTGTTACCATATTGTTTAATGTCAAATTTGACAGAAATATCTTCAATGATCCATTTTGCAATAAAGCTTTCAAAAATTTGCCCACATAAAGGTGTGTGTGAAATCGGCCGTAGTTGATCAAAAGATTTTATTTTTCTAACCTTTAGAATGGGAACAATAGTAGCAGTCTTCCATTCGTTAGGAAAAA